AAAGCCAAATATCGGGGCGTCCCTCCGTCCCCCCGCAGGTGTCGGAGCAGCAACGGGGAGAGCAAACGGAGCAAATTTTTTTTTGCGGTAACTCCGGGGGGGTGGGCAATCCGTCGGGAATACGCACTTGGCGGGACGCTTTTATTGCCCTGATTTGGGGGTTTTTTTTTGTGTCCCCACCCGAGACACACACAGTGTCCGTCCCCCCCCTCCCCGGGTAACAGCCCATGGGCCGCGCTCCTCAAGTGACGGGGGGGTCGCCGGGGAGGGGGGCGCTTCGGCCGTGCCTGGGTAAGAATTTATCGACAGGGTCCTCAGCAGGACCTGTCCGAGGTGAGGGACGTGGGGCGGGGGGGCTGCATCACCCCGGGAGGTGTCCCCACCGCTCAGGTGTAGCTCCAGAGCGTCCCTTCTCCCACCCCGCTCCGGGCCGGACCCCCGAGGGGGGGGTGAGCTGCTTCCTGCCCCCCGCGGGGCGCCCCGCAACCTGCGGATACCTTTATTTAAATAACGTGTCCCCTATGGAGCTGAGAGCCAGGAGATCCTCGGGGAAGGGATGCTCCCGCCAGGTGAGGGAGAGGAGATGGGATCCGAGCGTCAGAGGGCCCTTTTTCCCCCCCTTCCCTTCCCTTTTTCCCCCCCTTCCCTTCCCCAAAATTCCCAGAAATAAAAAAAACCACAAACATACCCGTGGCGTGCACAAAGGTATTTTTAGGTGGTTTAGCGGTTTGTTATTATGGCATTTTGGGGGAAATGTGGGGGTTTTTTTGGGTGCCGCCCGTACCGCGCTGCCCGGGGGTGATATTCGGGTTTAAAGCCAAATATCGGGGCGTCCCTCCGTCCCCCCGCAGGTGTCGGAGCAGCAACGGGGAGAGCAAACGGAGCAAACACCCCCCCCCCCCCGGCATGTGCGCGGCGGATCCGCGGGTGGCGGGGCGGGCACAGCATCCAGGTATAAATATCTGTAGATATCTATAGATCTGTCCGTATAAACACATGCGCACGGAAGGTTGATATATGTTAAATTAATACAATGTGATATCTATTGGTAGAAATATTAGGCGGCGGGCGGGAGCGGGCGCGGATTTCCCCGCCGCCGCGGGGGTCCCGTCTGACAGCGCGGTGCCACCGCCGGCTCTGTCCCCCCCCGGGAATAAACCTCATTTGTCAGGGGAGGCAAGGGGCGCCTGGAGTTACTGCCAGGTCTTCACCCTCCCCAGCCGCCCCCCACCCCCAAAAAATTAGAAAAAAAAAAAAAAGAAGCATAAAGCAGCAGCGAGGGGCAGGACCCCCCCTTCTCCCTGCGCTGCTGCTTCTGTTGGCAAACCTCTGAAACCGTCCGGTGTCACCTCGAAACTGCCCTTTGCGACACCGGCGTGGCACAGAGCAGAGCTTCCCAGCACCCTCTCAGGATAGAACTGGCATTTTCCCCGCTTCTCGGCTTTTTTTTTTTTTTTTTTTTTTTTTTTTAATTTTCCGCCTGTAACTGCAACTGCGGGGTACGAAATATAGGAATAGATACATCCATCTCTCCCTTAATCTCCTCTCGCCGCGGAACATGCCAGCGATTTCAAACCTGAGCCCGTCACTTCGCTAAAAGAAAAAAACAAAAGATAAGAAAAAAAAACAAACACCGCTACCAATAATTACAGAAAAGAAAGGAAATAATTACAGAAAGAGAAAAAGGAAAGGAAAGAAGAAAGAAGGTAAAAAAGAAAAGAGAGAAGAAGAAGAGAGCAGAAGAGAAGAGACAAAAAAAGAAAAGAGAGCAGAAGAAAAGAGAGGAAAAAAAGAAAGAGAAAAAGAAGAGAAGAGAGGAAAAAAGAGAAGAGAGGAGAAGGAGAGGAGGGAGGAAAAAAAGAAACGAGAGGAGAAGGAGAGAAGGAGAGGAGGGAGGAAAAAAGAAACGAGAGGAGAAGGAGAGGAGGGAGGAAAAAAAGAAACGAGAGGAGAAGGAGAGAAGGAGAGGAGGGAGGAAAAAAGAAACGAGAGGAGAAGGAGAGGAGGGAGGAAAAAAAGAAACGAGAGGAGAAGGAGAGAAGGAGACGAGGGAGGGAAAAAAAGAAAAGAGCAAAGCTCCCACCGTTTAGGCTATTTGTTAGTGTTTCCCATCCGTTTTGAGGCGGGCAGAGCCGGGAGCGGCGCAGCGCGGGGCAGAGGGAGCTGCCGAGCCCCCGAGGCGGGGAGCTGCGGGATCCCAGCCCTGAGGGGGGGTCTGAGCCCTCTCCCTTCCCGCGGGGGTGCGGGGATTGCGTCTCAGGGCAGGTAGGCGGCCAGGCCGGCTCCCCGCAGGAACGGGAAAAGATAAAAGCTAGAAAGAAGGAAAACTTTTAAAGAAAAAAAAAATAAAAAGAAAAATAGAAAAAAGAAAAAAAGATAAAAGAAAGAAAAAGAAGCACCAAAACAAACCAGAAAAAAGGCAAAAAGATGAAAACAAAAACAAAAAGAAAAAAGAGAAAAAAAAGCAGGAAAAAAAAGGAAAAAGGAAAAAAGAAAAAATAGAAAAAGAAAACAAAAAAAGAAAAAAGGTAAAAGAAAAAAGGAAAAAAGAAAAAATAGAAACAGAAAACAAAAAAAGAAAAAATAGAAAAAGAAAACAGAAAAAAAGAAAAAAAAGAGTGAGAAAAAGGGTAAGAGGGTAAGGAAGAAGAGGAAAAAAAAAAAGAAAAATGAAGAAAAGGTAAAAATGAATAAAGCTGCTGTGTGTAATTGGGCAGCAGGAGCAGGGCTGGTGCCGGTGCCCGGGGCAGAGGGTGCCACCCCTGTCCCCCGAGCTGTGCCACCCGATGGGGCTGGCACCGTCCGCCCCGGGGTGAGGATCCGGCCTCACGCCTTCCCCCGACCCAAACCCCACATCAAAGGGCAGGCGACAGGCAATGTGGAGCGCACATGGGAGGCTCCCAGAGCCTCTTCTGTCAAAACGTGTTTCCTGGCGTTTTTCTGCCCTTCCAGACCTCCCCCCCCCCCCCCCCCCGCCCCCGGCACCCTCGCAGCGGCGTGGAGGAGCCGTGGGGACCCACAGACCTCTGGAGATGGGCTGTGTGTAACCTACAGCCAGCCCCGAGGAGCTGCTGGTTTCCCTTCTGCCTCCCTGGGACGCAGTGACTTGCGGCAAGTTAATAGCCATTGTCATCCAGGGGTGGTTTTAATTATCTTTTTTGGGGGGGATTTAACTCGTCTCCTGCCACTTCTGCTCGCGTGAGGCTGGGCGTTGCTCCAACATCCCCTTCCAAAGCCCTGCCAACCCACATCTCACCTGCTTCGCTTCCACCCCACTGCCCGAGTCCTGGCTCGGCCAAAGGTGGCCGCCATCTCCACCTCAAGCCCCAGGGCCTGATGGATGTCCCTCAAAACCCCTGCGTGTGGCCCCCCCGGGATCCGCCAGGCTCTGGAGGCACAGTGGGATCCGAGATGGGCTGGAATGGGGAACGGAGGAGGGTTTCAAGGCTCTGGAACTGGTGGGGAGGTGGGGGGGTGATGGGAAGGGGAATTAAGACCAGTTGGTTCCGCAGGAGCGTTCAGGAAAACAGCCTTAGAAACGTTTTAGGTGGTGATTTAAATAAAGCTGTGATTTAGGATGCAACCAGGGATTTGTAGCGTGTTTGAATGATGATTTGTTTCTATAGTTTTTTAGGGTTTTTTTTTTATTATTATTCACAGCATTTGGGGAGGTTATAAAAAAAGAGCACTAGGTGTGCGTGCATCAATCGATACACTGCCATATGCTCCCACAAATGCTGCCTGTGTCTCCGTGCACTCGTTTCTCATTGCTGTAACAAACTTAGAGGAAAAAAAAACCTTCCTGTTTTTGCAGAGATTCCAAGACACAGCCTCTGGAAAGAGCCACTGCAGGGCTTCATCCCCAGGAACACCACGGCACCCGGGAACCTCCTGCTACTTCACTGGGACAGGACTCCAGCTGACAAACACGCCAGTGCCGGGGATTAGCTGGAAATTTGGAGTTTAAACTCAGACTGGCTTTTTCACACCATCGTGTGCCTTTTCCAAGGAACTGCCCCAGCACCGGGGAAGCCTCGGAGATGCCTGAAGGCTCTGCTCCACACATGCCCCGGAGCCTTTCTCTCTTGACAAGGAACCGAGGGTGTATCTCACACCTCATCCCATGCGGATCCACAGGCACAGCATTCCCGCTGCCCGGAGGAGCCCGCCCCAGCACTGCACATCCACCACGAGCTCCCACAGATGTGGTGGCACCAAGGAAAAGCCAGCGGTGACACCGTGCTGGTCACCCCCTCTTTGGCTCAGTAGCCTGGTAGGGAGCCAGGATGGCTCCTGCCTCTGGGTTAGGGAATTATTGCCCATCACCGTAGCACATGGCTTGCAGAATATCAGGACAGGGAGGAGAAATAGTCCTCTTTCCTCTGAGGCTGCATTAATCTGCAGGGCACAATTAACCAATCAATTATTCAGTCCCTCTTCCTTCCTCCCTCGCCTGTGCCAACAGGAGAAGTTTCTAGCCAGACATCAGTGTACCATTAGAGGGTGGGAAGCAGTTTGACCTCCCCAGGGAGCTGGAGTGAGGTCCCCAGAGCCTTAGGAACATTCTGTTAACCACCAGGCCAGTGGCATCCTGTGAAAAACAACCAATTTTTCAGTTTGTTGTCAAAAAAGTTTATTCTTCACCCCTGGAATGCAGGAAAGGAGTGGGAGGCGTTGGGCTGGGCAGCCAGGTCCATGGTAGATGTCAGCAGTGCTGAGGTGCTTCCGAGGAGTGATGGGAGACTTTGTGCCCTTGGGAAAAGGGCAGGAGGGTTTTCAGCCTCTGGTGGGTATGTCTGTCCCATATGTCTGTCCATGATGGGGCTTTGGGAAAGCTCCAAACCAGACTGCCCTGGGGAGGACGTGTGAAGTGGTGATGGGCTTTCAGATGCCAGGTCAAGACGGTGAGTAGCTGCGCCCAAGTGGCTGGAAATCACAAAGGACATCTCCTCAAAGGCACCAGCACAGGGTGCTGCTTCTGCGGGGCATCTGGTGGGTATGTCTGTCCCATATGTCTGTCCATGATGGGGCTTTGGGAAAGCTCCAAACCAGACTGCCCTGGGGAGGACGTGTGAAGTGGTGATGGGCTTTCAGATGCCAGGTCAAGACGGTGAGTAGCTGCGCCCAAGTGGCTGGAAATCACAAAGGACATCTCCTCAAAGGCACCAGCTGCTTCTGTGGGGCACCCATGCTGCCACCCCCTTGTTCAGAGCTCGCTTTGCCCTTAGGATCTGGAAAATGAAGCCTTTGAAGTCCAGCCTGACCTCACACACAGCCTTTTTGGAGCCAGACTGAACCCACCACAGGTGAGGGACCTTTGCTCCTGTATCTGGGCTGCTTAATGTAAAAGAACCCATAGACCCAGACCCACGTACCTATGAGCTGCTGAGGCTGCTTGAAGGAGTAGAGGGTCCAAAAGAGTAACAGGGTCCCAAAAGAACACCAGGGTCCAAAAAGCGCAACTTTGGAGAGATCTGAACCGAGTCTTCCCTCTGTGCGTGTCAACACAACCTGCCCAAGACATTTTATTGCAATGAATATTTTAAGAGCCCAGGGACAGTGTTGAAATGGAAGATCTCACTCCTTAGGCTGGCAGTCAAACCGGGGTCTCCTAGAATTGACAAGGAAGGTCAATAGGGCAGGTTTTGGTAGAATTTGGTACATTTTGGTACAAGTCCTGGTAGAGAAATAGAGCTTGGAAGTATGGTCCATGTGCCCAAGGCCTTAATCTCCCCCTACCCCGCCCCCATAAAATCAACCACATAATTTGTAATCATTCATAACAGTTGGAATTGCCTTGACTTTTAAAAGACTTTTCTCATTAGGCAACCCTTTATCCCTTGTAAAGCATATTATTGATCTTAATATGCAGAAAATGCCATAGCTGGCAACTCTGAACGTCTGTGCCATTTTTGCTAAACAATGAGAATTGATGGGGTTTGGCAGGACATTAAAATATTTAACATTATAGCTTTGGGAAGGCTTTTATGTGTCTGTACTAATAGGAAAATCTTTTAAGAGGAAAAATGTTTTTCTCTGCTCCACTAAAATCTCCAGTGAGGGCTGATTGTATTTGCATTAAACCCGATGGGAGGTTCGTTACTGACTTCAAAGTCAGTTCCAAGAGGAATTCCAGTTTGGAAAATTATGACTTGGAGAAACATCTCAGCCTTTTAGTCACGTGACCATTTAAATTGTCATTTTGTTACATGCCCTGACACTTTGGAAAGCATCTGGGGCCGGGACATTTGGCTTTGCCCACAGAAGCTGCAAATTAGCAGCCTGAGCGTGGTGGAGATGCCAACTCCTACACCATCGTGTCATCTGAAGGTGGACCAAGTGCCACTCCTGTGCCATAGGCCTGTGTCACGTCCCTCTAAGAGTCTTTAAAGACACTTAAAAAAAATTTTTTACTCCCCTGCTCTCTGTTCTCACCCTCCTAACCTGACTTGCAGGGCTGAGCCCTGGTGCTTTGGCTGATTCTCTGCTTTTACAGCATTATGAGTAGAGTGTAGAGCTCAGGAGGAGGTAGTACAGGAAGCAACGGGGTGTTCAAAAACCAGACCGTCACTGCCTTGAGCCTTACAAGACCTAAAGAGGCAGCTGTGATGAGGAAAACACATAAATTTCAATCCCTCGACTCAGCAAGGAGTATTTGCCACTTAATTTGCCACATCCTGGACCACGGCAAGATGCTTAAGGGCTGTGGCAGAGCCCAACCATCATCACCTTAAGATGCAAGAGCATCTAGGTGCTCCTCCTTCCTAGGCTGAGCCCTGCAAGGTCTTTGTGCTCTGATCAGGCATCTTTGCACTTAAGACGAAGGAGGAAAATTCTTGAGGCTAACCAGGTGGCCTCAGAGAAGGTTGTGATGAAAAGAAGATTGTGAAGTCCACGTCTATTTTCATCCTTCAGTATTGAGTCTGTGTGAGGACACTCTGTCCTGCAGGCATCCAGAGCACAGAGGTCCTTCTTGCCCACATTTCTCTTAAAAGACTTAAGGGCAGAGCTCGGAGGCCTCCTGGACCGTTTTGTAACATTAAATAGGGGCTGGTACGCTTCGTTTTCACCATGGAGCTCATCCCCACGTTTCCCCGAGGTGGGCAATTCAATGATGAGCATCACGTGACTGGTGAAGACCAAATTTGCTTTATCCTTTGCAGCCTTCCCGAAGGACAGCACCCCCTGTAAATGCCAGCGGGAGAAGAACAAAATGTAACACTGGTGCCCTGTAATCCTGTTTATTCCCGTACACAACAAGCTCAAACGCCGGGGTCTTTTAATAGCTTTTTCCATCTTGGAGGCTTTGTTTGGATGTGGTTTTCCTGATGTATCCTAGTAACATATTTAGTTAATTTATATTGTGTGTATGTGTAGACAGATATACACACATCCATATGTATGCACACACATAGTCCTCATTAAGTAAGTGTTAAACCTCCCACAGCAGAGTGGTGTTTGGAGGGTGATGGGGCTGAAGAGGGGACGTCTGTTCCCTCTGCAGAGACCGCTCTGGGGGGCACACGCAACCCCCCACCCCATCACTGGTTCCTCTGACCTGGGTGGAGGAACCTTTTCTCCTTCCTTCGAGGAAGGACACGGAGATGCTGGGAGGGCTGGAGCCCCTCTGCTGTGAGGACAGGCTGAGAGAGTTGGGGGGGTTCAGCCTGGAGGAGAGAAGGCTCCAGGGAGACCTTAGAGCCCCTTCCAGACCCTCAAGGGGCTCCAGGAGAGATGGGGAGGGACTCTGGACCAGGGAGGGGAGCCATAGGAGGAGGGGGAAGGGTTTGACACTGAAAGAGGGGAGATTGAGGTGAGATCTCAGAAAGAACTTGTTTGGTGTGAGGGTGGTGAGAGCCTGGCCCAGGTTGCCCAGAGAAGCTGTGGCTGCCCCATCCCTGGAGGGGTTCAAGGGCAGGTTGGAGGGGGCTTGGAGCAACCTGGTGTGGTGAGAGGTGTCCCTGCCCAGGGCAGGGGGTGGCACTGGGGGGGCTTTAAGGTCCTTCAATAAGGACCTTAAAGGTTGATTCAGACAAGACTTCTTCTCTTGAAGTCTTCTTTTTTAGACAAGAAGGTCCTTGAGAAGGAGCAGACTTTCTCTTGAAGGACTCAATCCTGGCCATGTCTGTCTCTATAAAATCAAACCAGAGCTGGTTTCAGGGCTACAATAGGCACTTTTGGAAAACCCACACACTCCTTATCCTCTTTTTTTTTTTTTTTTTTTTCCCCAGGCCCCCTAAGTGGATGGCAGGAGCCCTCCCCCGTCGTATTTATTGTACAACAAAACTCCCATCCAGGAGGATTCTGCAGACCGACGGACAGAGGAGTCAGGCTCAGGAGCTGAGGAGAGGACGTGAATAATTTCCTTCATAGCTGGTTTAGAAAGAGCCAGCTGCTTTCTACGCTCCTGCCAAAACCAAGAGGAGATAGTCTGAGGTTAAGGAACGCGCGGGATAATTTTCATACCAAATGTGAAAAGGGAGAAATTGCTTTAACATGTAGTAACTCACCATAAAAATGTGATACGTGTCCCCTTCCAGCTTTAAAAGGAGACTTTAGAAACCCTGCTCGTCTTTGATTTGTTAAGGCAATTTTACATTTCTTTTTTTTTTTTTAATTCACAAGTTTGTGAGAAAACATAATGAAACCCTTGATGTTTTTATGACCTCGATTAGCGCTTCATTGTATAAGTATTTGGTTATTGAAACATACACCAAATATTGCGCTGTAAAATCTGTTGTGACTTACTCAATAGCTTTTGGAATTAATAGGGAAAAAAATGACAAGATTGCAAAAATGGTATTAATTTTTATTTCATTTCATTTAATAAAAAACTCACTTGACTGCACAGTCCTTTGCTTTATTTTCTCACTTATCGTGTATATATTTGGAGAAAAATGTCTGTTGCATATCATCTCTCTAACACTAAAAAACGATGCTGTTATTAATAAGTTGCTGAGAAAAATAAACCAGTTTGCACTTTGATTTCTATCACTCCTGGTAAGTGATTCTGCTGGAGTAAACATAGCTCTAACACATGTAAACAACACAGGAAATTAATAACAAAATTCTTTGGATTTATTTCAGATGCCGCATACTTTATGTAAATATATGTGGCTTTCAATTTCAATGATTTTCCAGTAAGTAATAAACTTTGCTCATTAACCTCCTCTTAAACTAAACATTTATTACTTTATAAGTGTTATTTCAACTAAATCAAGTGGATGTTCTTGGTAAATTAATGCAGCAGATCTGTTCAGCCAGAGAGGCCGGACGGCTCCTCGGGAGCTGGGAAAGCTCTGAGTTTCTACTTAAACTTCAAGGGAACGAGAAGCAGTATAATATGCTGATTTTGAATGTAAAAAATAAATGTTGATAATATCTTTTTAAAATTAATCTACTTTTCCCTTATAAGCTCAGTGGTAAAACATGGGAAAAATCCCATAAAAACTTTTTAAGGTTACACATATCTGCTCCCTGAATCTTGGGTTAGTAGTTTTTCACGGAACTGATTTGGTGGTTTTTCCTTTTTCACTGCCAGCTGTGATCAGTCAATATTTTCCTGGAAACACGGTTCTTTTAAGTACACAGTTTTCAGCACATAAGGACAAAAATATTTTGCATCTTCTGTACCAACAGGAAAAAATACGTATTAAGAAACATTCTGCTCTTGTGATTGTCACAATATACGTTTGACCTCAAAAAAGTTGTCAGCACTTTTGATGGGAACCCACCTCTTCTCAGCCCGAGCATCTCTTCTTGGGGCAGGATTAGATGGGAACCCCCCTCTTCTCAGCCCGAGCATCTCTTCTTGGGGCAGGATTAGATGGGAACCCCCCTCTTCTCAGCCCGAGCATCTCTTCTTGGGGCAGGATTAGATGGGAACCCCCCTCTTCTCAGCCCGAGCATCTCTTCTTGGGGCAGGATTAGATGGGAACCCCCCTCTTCTCAGCCCGAGCATCTCTTCTTGGGGCAGGATTAGATGGGAACCCCCCTCTTCTCAGCCCGAGCATCTCTTCTTGGGGCAGGATTAGATGGGAACCCCCCTCTTCTCAGCCCGAGCATCTCTTCTTGGGGCAGGATTAGATGGGAACCCCCCTCTTCTCAGCCCGAGCATCTCTTCTTGGGGCAGGATTAGATGGGAACCCCCCTCTTCTCAGCCCGAGCATCTCTTCTTGGGGCAGGATTAGATGGGAACCCCCCTCTTCTCAGCCCGAGCATCTCTTCTTGGGGCAGGATTAGATGGGAACCCACCTCTTCTCAGCCCGAGCATCTCCCCTTGGGGCGGGATTTGATGGGAACCCACCTCTTCTGAGCCCAAGCATCTCCCCTTGGGGCAGGATTTGATGGGAACCCACCTCTTCTCAGCCTGAGCACCTCTCCTTGGGGCAGGATTAGATGGGAACCCACCTCTTCTCAGCCTGAGCACCTCTCCTTGGGGCAGGATTAGATGGGAACCCACCTCTTCTCAGCCTGAGCACCTCTCCTTGGGGCAGGATTAGATGGGAACCCACCTCTTCTCAGCCTGAGCACCTCTCCTTGGGGCAGGATTAGATGGGAACCCACCTCTTCTCAGCCTGAGCACCTCTCCTTGGGGCAGGATTTGATGGGAACCCATTTCTTCTCAGCCCGAGCACCTCTCCTTGGGGCAGGATTCAGAGCATCCTGCTCTGCTACCTGCCCTCCAAGCCCATCTCCACTCCTTTTCCAGGCAGGACTCCATGGTGGGGGACACAGGATGGGCATCTCTGTCCTTGGGGGAGCTGCCAGCACCCGGGGGGTCCCTGGGAAGTATTTAGTTGCTCTGAGCGTGTCAGCTATCAGCGCACGGCGCAGTGTTTGACACGAGTTTGAGGCTTCTGGATTTTATCTCGTAATGAGGCGCAGACTGTCCTCGGGGGGGTTGGTGAATCATCACATCGCTCGCAACCCGCGGCACTCGTTTTAGGGGTTGTGTTGGCCAGGAGCCGCCGCCTTGGGTGACATTAGCTCTGATTACTGGAGTCGAGCTCTAAAGTTTATTAACTCAGATATAAGGGGTTTTGGTTTCTTTTTTTTCGGTTTTATTTTGGTTGGTTCAACTGGATTTGCTTCAGACATGACTCATTGCCACTTCCTGCAGCTCCAGCGCGGTTCCTGCAGGACCCTGGGCCACGGAGCACCCACTTCAAACACAAGGCAAGTTCTCCTGTATATTTTGCGTACTGAGGCTTCATCTAAATTAAACGTGGCAAGCCAGAGGGCATGCAGTACACATCCTCGGTTCCCTTAGTAGTCTGAAAAGAGAACTACAAAGAAAAAAAAAAAAAAAAGGAAACAAAAAGAAAAGAGAAAAAGAGAGAAAAAAAAATACGCTGGATATTTAAAGGAAGAAGTCAAATTCCAAAAGCTCACAGGAAGCCAAATTCTCCAGGCACAAGAAAAGTGACATTATCCAAACCAAACCTTAACACAGCATGGAAATGTGATGAAGAGTAGGGCTGGTATTTTCAGTGAAGCTCTAGACATATATGTAAATACAATCAAATTGGGAACACATTCTAGGGATTAAAGAGATCTGCGTAGCACTGGAAGAAAGAAGCAGCAGATGTAACTGCTAACAACAAAAGAAGGGGTTTCTGGCCAAAGCTCAAGATTTTCTTGCACCCAGGCCCGTTGTTGCAAATGAATCTGGACACAGTAAATAATTTGTCGTGACTTGTAGATCCAACTCCTTTTTGTTGTTGCTCGTGAACTAGCTACCATTTACCAACATGCTGACTTTTACAAATGAGTTCCTTCAGAGCCCTTCAGCGAACACATAATGCAGATGTGTTTCCATCGAGGCACTGTCACTGCTCTATTAAACTGAGCCTCTGTGGTGGCTCCGAGACGGGCAACAACCAAAAAGCCTTGGTGACTGAAGGTGGCCAAGAATTTCTGAGCCCTGGCCAACAGATTGCCAGCAGAAGAGAGGCACAAACTTCCACCAAACTGGTCTTCGAGGTCCCAGGCATCACGCTTCACCTAAGCCTCTCTCGATGATGATGCCCTTCTGGGAGGTACCTTGGGGGGAAGCTGCCTTGGTGGAGCGATCACCCGAGGAACAGGACACATCAGGATAGTACGACACTGATATTAATTTCTTGGTGTTTCTAGCCAGAGGTCTCTAGCCATCTTAGCTGTGGGTATTAAACAAGCATTGGGCTGCATAATTAGAAAATTTTACCAGGTCAGGACAAGCTTTAAAACAATGATAAATAAGTGCCCTCAACTTCCACGCGTAGTTCAGAGCACCCTGAATGCATCACTGCTCAGTCGAAATTAACCGGGAAATAAGACCCACCTTGATGAGTCTCTTACTGGTCATCTGAGAAACATCAACAGTATTTTAAACATTATTAATTTAACATCCCTGTCTGTACGTTGTGAAGACCAGGAGCCTGATGGGTTTAAGGAAACACGTAGAAATGTTGTATTCAGTGTCCACACACACTCCGCAGGTCTCCACAGCAAATGTTGCGGTTTGACAACTTAAAACTAGCAAAAAAAAAAATGTCAATGCAACACAGGGGTCCGTTTCTCAGGTTATTCAGTGATCCTGAAGGACAGAAAAGGTTACCATATTGTCCCAGTGGGAGACAGAGAAACAAATATCTTCTGTCCATCATTACTTTTAAGGGGCTGGCAGCAGCAGACCTTCTGGATCTGGGAGAAAAGGAGCTCTGGGGTGTGAGAGAGTGGAATTTCTCTGGTTTTCCAAGCTGATGCCATACCCTGCCTTTGCCGGGTGGTGCTGCCCCAGCTCCAAGAGATCACTGCTGGGACTTGGCTCTGCAAACCTGTGGCCACTGCCCCATGGCCCGAGGTAGCCACCCTGCCCGCCCTGGCTTGCTGCTCGCCACCATGTCCCCTCAGACTCAGACACCAAACCACAAGCCCAGCTTCCATCTCCTTTGCGCTGGGGATGGCAGCAGATTAAACGATGAAAAAAGTACCATTATTTGTTCTATTTATTACTTGGAATGAAAGCCCCACTTTGGCACACAAGACTTTTATTTTTGTAAGATCCTGTTCTGTCAAACAAAAAAGGGGCAGATAAAGGAATCAATTTTATATATAGACTTGCACCGCCCTTTTAAAGTCTTAAAGTCTACATTCAAGCATTTCTATTAATGATCCAGGATGCTAAACAATTTTTAATATCTGATTACAAAGCTTTTCAGCTTGCTTTTAACAAAAGGAAAAGCTGGTTTAATATATGAAGCCTGAAAAATTGCCAACTATAAAAGAACGTCGCTCTTTCTTTTTTTCTTTTTTTTTTTTTTTTAATTATTTGAAATGCTTCTGAATTCCCAACATAGCTGTTGGGATCCAAGGTTATGATCTAAGAGAAAGGATATGTTATTTTAATTAAAGTAGCTTTTTACATTTTTTTTTTTTAAAAAAAGGTTACTTTTAAAACATTCCCATCACCGTTTATGAGCTTTGGGAAGACAGGAGGCTCCAGGGATTGCTAATGACATACAGATAAGCCATATGTTCCTCTCACCTCCACAGTTTTCCCTGGGACTGATGCTTCACCTCTTGTGCCACATAACAATATAAATAATAAAAAATAAAATAAAATAGTAACAATCTACATCTCTTTTATGGAGCTTTTCCATCTTTGATGATGTTTATGCTGCGGGTGGGAAGCGGAGGTGGAGGAGATAGGTTGATTTGCTCCTTGGGGTGACACTGCAGGTTCGGGGCAAAGCTGGTCCCCGAGCAGCATCCTCCCCAGTGACCCGCCATGAAACTGCTGATGCCTCCACAGCCCTTTGCTACTGTGGACCCAAAGATGGGAGAAATGATCTACCCATTTCAGTGGTTTATGCCTCATGGAGAAGCAAGTCAGCCCCAGAGCACCACTGGCGTGATTGAAAAAGAGCAATAAGTCATCGTCATCTAATCTAATCTATTAAGAAGACATCAGTTTGGCCGTTTCAGCCCAGCTTCAAACA